TCACCTTTGCTACTTGGAAGACTACAATCTCCCAAAATTCCCAGTCTCAGGCAACTTCGGACCGCGGATTTCTGGACCCTGGTATAGCTGTGCTCGACCTGCTGGGCAGACCCTTTTCATTTCTCTCCGTTGGGGCCTGAAGGCGGTTATCGAGAAGATCTCGGCGCTTGTTTACTTCCACTGTATCCGGTCGAGGTACCTCCACAATCACCCTTATCCTCCGTCTTGTCCTCTCTAGGTGTCTAGCTCCAAAGCTTCACTACTCAGCATGTCAAACACCGACTTTCTCGGCCGCGCCATCGACACGGTAAAGAAAGCTATTGAGCTTGACACCGCCGGCTCCTACGAACAAGCCTACCAACAATACTATGCCGCCCTCGAACTCTTCATGCTTGCCCTAAAATGGGAAAAGAATCCCAAATCAAAGGAAATGATCCGGGCAAAGGCAGGAGAATATATGGACCGAGCAGAGAAACTGAAAGCCCACATTCAGGCGAACGATTCGAGTAATCGCAAAAAGCCAGCTGCCATGGGAGTTAATGGGAAAGCCGTAAACGGTGCGGGCAAAGGCGAAGCAGGAGACAAAGACGAAGAAGATGCAGATTCCAAGAAACTCCGTGGGCAATTAATGGGTGCGATCTTGACGGACAAACCAAATGTGAAATGGGAGGACGTCGCCGGTCTAGAGGGCGCAAAAGAAGCATTGAAAGAGGCTGTCATCTTACCCATCAAATTTCCTCACCTGTTCCAAGGCAAACGACAACCGTGGAAGGGGATATTACTCTACGGTCCTCCGGGGACGGGGAAATCATACCTCGCAAAGGCTGTGGCGACAGAGGCGAACAGCACGTTTTTCAGTGTGAGTTCGTCCGACCTGGTGAGTAAATGGATGGGTGAGTCAGAACGACTGGTCAAACAACTTTTCAATATGGCAAGAGAAAACAAGCCGGCCATCATATTCATTGATGAGGTCGACGCCTTGTGTGGACCTCGAGGGGAAGGCGAATCCGAAGCGTCAAGACGTATCAAAACCGAGCTTCTCGTACAAATGGACGGAGTGGGGAAAGATTCTCGTGGTGTCTTGATCCTGGGCGCAACAAATATCCCCTGGCAGCTAGACGCTGCCATTCGCCGACGTTTCCAGCGAAGAGTACACATCTCTTTACCTGACAAACCAGCAAGAATGCGAATGTTTGAGCTCGCTGTCGGAGATACGAAGTGCGAGATGACCCAGGCGGATTATAAGGCTCTGGCAGATTTGAGCGAAGGGTATTCGGGGAGCGATATTAGCATTGCGGTGCAAGATGCGTTGATGCAGCCTGTGAGGAAGATCCAGACAGCCACGCATTACAAGAAGGTAAGTTCGACCACCTCCGTAGGCCCTGCCGCTCCGAGAACGAACCGCTAACAATTGCCGTTGGCGGAAATCAGGTCATGGTCGACGGCGTTGAGAAACTCACTCCCTGCTCCCCGGGTGACCCTGGAGCAAAGGAAATGACGTGGGTGGACATTGACTCGGAACAACTTCTCGAACCGCCGTTAACTGTGAAGGACTTTATCCGCGCGATAAAGGCAAGCAGACCGACAGTGTCTGCAGATGACTTGAAGAAGAACGCCGACTGGACGTCCGAATTTGGAAGTGAAGGTGCATAGCCTGGGACAAAAGATAGAAGCCTATGTGGAAACGAAGAACAACGACGACGATAGCAATGCCATTTGGTCATTTTTGGGGTTTGGGGAAAGAAGGGTTCTGCGGGCACGAGCAAGGGCGTTCCAAGGCTTGATTAGCAGCAGCGAGGCTGTTTTGGCTGAATTCCTCGAAGCAGTGAGTGGTACCGAATCCAGCCGGCGTCTGATGTTTTGAAGGGCCCATGTCTGCTTCAAAGCAGACACGACCGGATAAACACAAGATGTCTTCGGCGCAACCCTTCCCTCGCCCATACTGGAATCGGAGGTGCTTGGAATTGTTTGGACCGGGAGACCACAATTGGGGCTGTTGAAAGACGTGCGGGCACTGTCGTGTGATGATGCCGAAGGCTCTATGTCTTGTGGAGATGTCTTCGGCTTCGCTCCCTTCGCTGCTCTCTGCTTGCTTCCCTGCCACGAGGCACGCACGGCTGGCTTCCCAGCTTCGCGCGGCCTTGCACAGTCGGTGCACAGCAGATCCCTCCCTGTACATGCACAGATAGCTTCTCCTGCCGCCTTCTAATGAGGACACCACCTTTTCCTCCCTATCTGCGGTTCCTCTGTCTTTACCTAGCTGCCCTTCCCGCATGAAAGTCGTGCAAACGCAAACAAAATACTGCTCTTCGTGTGTCTGTATCGACCTATGTTTAGCCTAAGCCTCAACTCGGTCAAAGCGCTCTGCGCAGCCCGCTAGGTTAGATGTAAACATCTACGGGAAGGGGGTAAGTATTATTAGGATGTTGTTTATCCCCGCCCCGGCTTTCCTCCCCCCTGGGGTGGCAGACCCGAATTTCGTATGGGTTGTTTATCTTCCTTGGGACATGGATACACCGCTCTAGCTAAGTATATAGATATATATAGATATATATCTCTTACCTTTTCGTAGCGTCTCTCTCTCTCTCTAGTTTATAGCCAGCATCCCTACCACCTAATGTCCACTTCTCCTTCTCCTACTCCTTATTTCCTTCTTAGGTTGTTTCAGTTGTGTCTCCGCTCTAGCAGAGCCCATGCGCTGTTCAAGGCGTCAAGATCACCTAGACAGAGAGGCATGAAGAAAGGAGGGGATGGCGAGGGCTCGATTCTACACAAAGAAAACCTCTGCGGAATATATATATATATGTATATCTTTCTTCGGCAACGCAGGCCAAAACATCTATCAAGACGACGAGGCTCTAGATATTTCCTCGCGGCCGCAAGATCGCACTTCTTCTACCAACCGGCGCACCGTCTCCCGGGTGGTTGAGATATTCACCACCGCGCGGAAGAAGGAGCCCTTTTCAACTTCATGGCCCAGCGCAGGGGCATAGTCGACCATGAAGCCCCGAGAGACCAGCGACCGCGCTATCCGGCTTGTGACGGCCGAATTGCGCTTGCCGACGATGGTTTCGTCGGCCTTGCTTCGTCTGTCCACTACGATGTTTATGTCTTTGCCTTCCCCGTTGCTGCAGTAAACCTGGGCATCGTCATTGCCGAAGGTAGGACTATCGAAGAGCATTTTGCCGCCAGGGGCGAAGTAGAAGCACACCTGCAAACATGGCGGAGGGTTCGTGCTCACCAGCAGCAGGTCTGGACTCTGGTCCACGAGGTCTGCCAGGTAACAAGCGGTCGAATACGCAGTTTCGACCTTGGACCTGTACCCGAGTGTTCCGTAGTATTGCCAGGAGAGAAAGAGTTTCAGACTGTCTCCGCGGCGTCCACACTGGAGTGTGAGATCGGCGAGATCGTCCGGAGGGGCCCAATCTTCGTCGGACGATTCGAGTTGGTCATGGCCGTTCAATTCCTGCTGTTCAGCCTGCAGCTCGTCTTCATTGCCGTCGTGGAACAGGTATCCCGCTCGGAGAGTATTCGCCGTATGAGCATTTTTGAGATCCTTGAGCAAGAGAAAGCTGCATGTCAATGGGACACCCAGCATCTTGTGCGGATTGATGGCAATGCTGTCTGCAAGCTCACACCCTTTGAGTCTTGTTTGGCGGAGATTGTCAGAAAAGACAAAGCTTCCGCCCCAAGCACCGTCGATATGCATCCATAACCCATGTTTTCCGGCAATCTGTGCAATAGCAGGAAATGGATCGAACGATCCCAGCACCGTCGTTCCGGCAGTGGCATTGACATAGAATGGCGTTTTACCCTGGCTCTTTGCTCTCACAATCAGAGACTCCAACGCCTCGGGATCCATCTCTCCAGACCATGGATGAACAGGGACGGGAATGACACTTTCCGCCCCAAAGCCACATTGTTGCGCAGCCTTCTCAATACTGTAATGCCCATGCTCCGAAGTGAACATCACCAACTGTCTACCTCTAGCATGATTCCCTGACTGTTTCGTATCTGGGAACAGTGTGTTCCGTGCGATAACGATGCTGGTCATATTGCTCGCGCTCCCGCCTTGAACATTGATTCCTCCGGCTCTCAGACCCAAGAAGCCGAACGTCGCCGCAAGAGCTTTCGTGACATGGGTCTCGATGAGTGAGAGTACAGGGGAAACTTGGTAAACATGTACATTTGTGTTGAGGACGCTGAGAATCAAATCCGCCGCTATTCCGGGAGGTAAAGGGGCGGAGTATAGCTTGTCAAGAAAACCAGGGGCGGAGGTGTTGACGCTGTACTTCAATATTGAAGATAGCGAATTGATGAGGCCATATTGGCCAGTGCCCTGACCTGGCAGGGACAGAGTCCCGTTTGACGTCAGGATGGAGAGCAACTCTGAAGGAGAATGTGGCTCAAGGAGGGAAGAGGTAGATACGGGTTGACGAAGTTGATGTGCTTTGCGCTCCGATTCGGCTTGTCGAATAAAGGGGATGAGCCGACCGAGAACTGAAGCGAGGAGGTTTTGCAACCCATCAGCTCCAGACATGAAAGTATCGTCGACACTGCCATCTTTTATACCATTGGACACCTCTGAAAGACGGTTACTGTATAATGCATTGCTTGATGTCAAGTCGTTGACGCCGCCTTCGAACGGATGGTCAGACATGCTCACCAAACTGATATCAATCCATACGCCGAAAAGAAAGCCCACACACACGATTGCTCAAGGTCCAGAGGAGCAAATAAAAGAACCGCAAACATCTAACGAATCAAGCAATCTACCCTGGATATATTTGAAGAACTGATCGTCAAGGCAAAGCCAGCGCAGAAGTTGGAATTGGGCCACCTGAGTAAAATTCTGCTTGACAACGCTGGTGGCGTGCTTCTCCGGATGACGCAACTCGGTGGAGACAAGGCTGAGGACAGGGGTAACTTAAGAAGCATTTCGGCGTCTTGCAAGTACTCCGTGCCCTCTGTTCCTATCCGTTTTGCCTTGTCCCTCATGTCTAGGCATTTGTTCGAATAACAGCGTTCGCGGATGTCGCCGAAACATGACTGCCCTTCATGCTGTGCGAATTCGACTTCCGGGAATGCCTCTCTCTTGCAAGTTCAATTGGCGTCTTCTTCCTCCCAGACCCTGAAGCTTCCGTCAGAGGCACAGCGGGTGTGTGACTCTGCCCCAGCCCCTTTGCGAGAGCGCGCCACTCCCCAGGCCGTCGATGATACAGATCCATTGCCCAGTTCTTCCAAACATTTCGGCCAAAGGGCGACTCTCGAAGTTGGCTTTCATTGGTGAGGAGCTCTCCAGCTAGACGCTCTTTCATGAAATGAAGCCCGTCCGTGGCTGTCCATAGGGCGTCTGCCACATAAGAGCCAGTAAGGTCTTGCGCTAGAGTGCCGATGTGTCCGTAGAAACGAGGGATAAATTCTCGTCTAAAATGCATGTTGGATTCTGTCGGAGACAGGGCACATTGGACGACGCGCGAGGAAACTGGATCTCGTGCCATTGCCATCAGCATTTTGGTGTCCAGCGCCAACAGGCTGTCCTGTACGAGGGTGCATGTCTTTGGAGTTTGAAGCATTGTCTGGGCCAATAGTGAGGCGTGTACATCAGCCTTGGGTGTCGATGTTTCTGCGTCCTTGGTCGCATCGTTATCCTGAATGTGCTCCTGCATCTCTGTCGACCTAAAGCCGAGAAGATTAGGAAGAAACTCCCCTCCATCGCTCTTGTATTCTGACCCGATCACATCCGACATATCTTGCAGATCAACGCCCCGCAAAGCACATCGCTCGACCAGTACTCTAATCAGGCCAGTCCTTCGGCGAGAAATGAGGTCCGGCAGCTCGACTAAGATCAACTTTTTCGCTTCCGAAAGGTCGTCTTTACCAAATCGTTCAAGAACCCTCATTGCCACATAGCTTGCTGTATCATTTTTAGACATGCTCCGGAGTCGTGGCTTCAAGACATTCTTGTACAGCTTCTTGAATACTTTGCCGGGAAGTTGCTTGACTAGAATCTCGACCAAATGTGAGCCAGTTGGATCATAGATCAGCCCAGTGATGAATTTAGCACTTTCCGAATCTTCCTCCAGCTCTTGGTCTGGGAGCAGTTTTCGAAGGACCGAGTTCTCCTCTGCTGCCTTGTTCTTGCCCGATGCCGAGAGTTCGACACGCAGAAGTAACTGTAAGACAGGATTGCCGGTCGGATGTGTAGCTAAGGCTCTCAAGTAGGTGGTGTCCAAGGCCGAAATAGCGCTACTGATAAGTTTGTCCAGAGCGTTGCGGAATGTCTTTGGCACAATCCGTTTGCTCTCAGATGTCTCGGTCTCTTTCTCAATGGGCGATTTGAGCTTTTCCTTCTTTCGGCTCGCGACCATCGCCTGGACCGAATCATCGTCTAACGGCAGGCCCGACAGGATGAGGAACAAGACGCGGATGGTGTGGGAAGCGAATCTGTCAGTGAGGAGAAAACCCATGTTTGGCTCAAGCTCTTCTGCGGCATGTAGGAAGAGAGGCTCCAGGGATGGCAATCCAGTACCGGCCGTGTCCTCTGTCCGAGGCCCCCTTTCCACGTGTTTCGCTGCTTGTAGAAACAGTGTCTCACAGCAATGACTTCCAAACCGATGTCGCACAAGGTAGGTGAGATTTCCGAGGAACTTGCTGAAAAGATGCCGCATCTGTTCAGGAGTGGACAACATGATGATCTTCTCTAGATATCGAGAGCAAGATTGGCTAGATGCAACCTTCATTTCCTTGCCTTCAGTTTCGCGGTGCACTGCCTCGATGAAGATTGCACGGTCTTCGGGGGAATCGAAATCATTTGCGACGATTTTGGCGTTGACGTTTGCGTAGTATTCTTGTTCATCGGGAGTTAAGAGCCCATGAAACTGTGGTTCTTCTGTTGGCTCCTGAATCCCAGGCGGTCTCTGAACGTCGAAGCCGATGAAGTCATCTCCAGCGTCGCCCTCCACCACAACTTCACTTGGGATCTCTTCATCACGGGCGTGGCCGATTTTGAGGCGTTTTGCGGATCGTTTGCCCTCCTTTTCCTGCTGCCTCCTCCCCCTTTTTTTGCCCTCGCGAGGCATTTGGGAAAGAGTGAACTAGGCCGTGGGATATTAGGAGTGCAGGAGTCCTACACTTGGAAGGGGAACAGTGAGATGGAGGTTAACAGGTTGCACGACAGCTTTTGGAGGACTGGGGATTGACAAGAAGAAAAATACGCCGCCAAGTCTTTTTCCGCAGGTCCACTCATCAGAGCCATCCCACCAGAAAGGACGATATATACACGAGGATGCAGAGCACCTCTATTCTGCTCTGTTGCAAGAGGTAAACAAATTTACTCATTCTAAATCAAGGATACCTTCGATTTCATGGTCAATTACCCAGGTAGCTCACGACTGTTAGACCGTGTCACTTGTTTTGGAATTCGGCACGCTCTGGATGTGTTTAGGTACGACGAGTTCGGCACCAGGACCCAGCTCGCTAGGAAACATGATCAGAGTACCTCGCCGTCGGTGTAGCGGGGTGTTTCGTTACTTAGCTGAAGAAAAGAGAAACTTGCATAGGAAACCATTTGACCACTCTCTCTCCCCTCTTTCTCGCTACATCGTTGTGCTATGGCCGCGTTCATCATGTCCATATGTCCCCCCCGTAGCCACATGTGTCTCTTCTCGCATAACGCATGAGCAAAGAGCCAAAGCACAAAGAAACTGCATTCCTTGGACCGCACCAGAATTTTTCAGAGACCGCCGTTGCTATTCTTTTGCCTGGTGCTGTACAAAAACCCTCCACCCCCTGCCCCGTTCTGCCGAATGTTTATGTACAGGATAAAAACAAGTAAACAGCGCATCGTTGAGGAGATGCTACAAAAATCATGCGAAGCCCTGACCTGTTGCATAATGGCCAGACCTTCCGTGCGCCAGAAATCGATGACGCCTCTTACTCACACTCCGTCAAGCCTCCGGGGGATAAATATGGTCGAATGTTCATGACGAGTAATATTAGTCTTGCATATAACACAATTTGCTGCGCCGCGCCTAGAAATGCACCCATGTTCCACTGCGCTCACGTTCTCTGAATGCCAGGTTGTAGAGAAGCACCGTTCGGCAAGCCCATACCGTACGGGTTGACATGTTGGTTGTTGAATGCGTTGGGGTCTTGCATGCCGCTCAAGAACTGCCCGATCCCTTGGGCGTGACCTACGGGGCAATCTTTATGGCCCATAAGTAGAGTGCGGAGGTTCCGAATCTCGTCGTGCAGCTGAGCAACCTGTGTGTTGAGGCTGTCATTTTCGGCAGAGTACATTTCCACCTTGGCCTGAAGGTTAGCCAGCCACTGTTTCTTTCTTTGGCGACACTTCAGTGCGGCAACACTACACTGGTTAGTCCGTGCGACACCTCCCGAGGGCTGGATGGGGACCTACCGATTGCGTTCAAGGAAATTCCTCCGCTTCTCTTCATCTGTCATCTTTTTGTTATTACCGCTGTTGGTTGTTGTCGTGGTCTTTTCTTGCTCTTCGGCTTCATCGCTGTCTTCGTCATCGTCGTCGTCGTCGCCGCGAGGGTCAAGGGCCGGATCCACGTTGGGGGCTCCTGAATTGCCCTTGGCGCGTTTATTGCTGCCTTTGGCACTGGCTTCTGACTTTCTCCGGTTGCTGGCTGGTTCGGCTTTGGCAGAAGCCTTCTTACCACGGCCACTGCGTGTGGTTGGCTTGGGATCCTGGGGGCTCTCAGGGCTTTCACCGGGGTCAGAGCTATTCCGCTTTTGATCTTGGCCGACAGTCGGAACAGGCGCCGGGTTGGGCACGGCGAATTGATTGCTAGCTTGGCCTCCTTTCGCTAGCATGAACAGGCCATTGGCAGCGTCGGTGGCGTCGTGGACGGAATCCATGTTGCTGGTGGTGGTGGTGGTGGTGGTGGTAATCTCTTGTGGGTTGGAAGTGTTGGCAAATTGGTTCTTGTTTCTCGCTGCAGCGTTGATGGCTGTGCGGTGGAAATCAAGAGTGCCAGGCGTTGCGCCGCCACTTTGCAACGAGTTAAAGAGCGCTTGTGAGTTCGGGCTGGGGACGGGAAACATAGACCCGCCACCGCCTGGAGTCAGACCAGTCCGGAGGGACGACTCGTTGGGCGTCGGGAAGCCACGGCCGATACTGTCAAAGTAATCACCTTGTTGCGGACCAGCCAACATTGCAGGGCTCAGCGGCCCTGACCGAAGAGAGCTTTGCCAGTTGTAGCCGCCGGTTGAGCTGGTGCCAGGGATGGCTGGGGATGTGAGAGCCGCGACAGGAGGCAGCAGGTTTTTGCCGGGAGTCTCTGTCGAAGGCGCTCCGAACGATTGTTCAAAAGGATTGAATTCTTGGCCGATGCTGCTTCCGTTGTTGTGCAAGGACGAGAAGTAGTCGGGGGTCTCTGCTTGAGTGGTGGGCGCAGGTCGCGGCGGCGGCGCAAGGGGTTCTGATACTTGAACGACGGGCTTGGGTTCTTCGGCCAGCGAGGTGGATTGTGGTTCTACATGTCGCATTAGTGATGACTCTTTTTTTTTTCTTTTCGCAGATTGGTGAGCGCGTGTCGACGCGTACCTGGAAGTGATGATTTAGCCTGCAACGGGGAAGTATTGGATGCTAATCATCCGTCAAGCTTGTCAGCATTGATCCGTAGTATGCGCCCGGGAGCGCCGTATTGATGCACGAAACAATTTTCAATGCGCGGTTGATGATAGGTGATGGCACGGTGACGATGGTGGGCGGGAAAGAGTGGAAGAAATTTTACAAATAGGGGGCGGCGAGATGGACTAACCTTCTTGCTTCGCCGTGGCTTTCTTATTGTCCATAGGCGACGAGGTACGAGAAGTTGGGCCAGCCCCAAGGTGTTGTTGTGATGGTTGAGTTGCGACTGCGGCACTCGCCATATTGTCGGGATGGGATGAAGCAATACGTAGAGAAGGAAACAACGTCAGCCGTTGCAGAAGTGACGTCGATAGAGCTGGGAAGGCGTTGGCGCCTCATATATTGTGGGAGGTGGGAGGTAGGGCAGGCCAGGCGAGGGAGCGCAGGCGAGAGGGATGGCAGGGTTGGCAGGGTTAGCCTTCGTCCGGGCGGCCTGTGTCAAAGACTCCAAGGACTTGAGGGAGCGTCGTAGGGAGGGTCGACGGGTGCGACTTTGAAGTGGGCGCGTGGGTGGGTTGAACCAACAGCCTGCGAATCAGAGACGTGTCAGCTGTGAGTTGGGAAGTCGGCAGAGCATGGCGATCGCCCGCCATCGAGCCCATCAGCATTCAGAGCACCGCTTGTGCTCGCCACTCATATCGACCCACCGCCAGCCCATCCCCAATGTTCGATCGTAGCCGGGCGGGAATTGGCTCCGGGCCTGCACAAATTCAGGGAAAGAGGGAACTTGTGGCCAGCAGCTTACCGACCAAGTGGTACGAGGGGTGCACCTTCGCAGACCGTGCTGAGATGCGAGCCCTCTCCACGGGGTTAAACTCCAGTCGAGATTCTGAGTAACAACGTTTTGTTGCGAGATAGGCGATACGAAGGCAATCGAGGGCCGACTTTGAGGGGGCGAGAGGAGGATGGGTGATGACGTGTGTCTGGCGACTGACTGGGTGGTACAGCCGACGAAAGGCCTGCCGAAGAAAAGAGCCCAAAGTCAAGTCCCGTGATCGACGATGGGGGAGTGATGCCGCAATATGGTACAACAACGGCAAGGGCAAGTCGCCCAAAACAGTTCTGTAACGCTTAATTGACAACCGAGAGGGGATGGTGGCTTTTGTGCAGAGGCTCAAACTGGTACAGGAGAGAGGAGGTTGGGGAAGTTTAGAGGAGGGCGAAAACGAGATATCAATGACCTCAGCACGCAGCGGCAGAAAGTCAGTACTTGTTAGTAGCACTGTCCTTGGTAGGTACTTGGTACGGAGTAGTACTTGGTTTAGAGACACAAAGGTGTCCCCGTGTCCCCTTTCGCCCCCGTTAAGGATTCTTCTCTCTGTGGGTGGGGTGAGCAAGTTGAGATAACTCCTGCTCCTACTGGCGGTGAAGGGTACGGCTTTTCACTCTTCGCTTTTCTTTGACTCGCAATTCTGACGCAATCGTCGATGAAAATGTCCCGGCACTCGGACAGCGCCATCCCGTATCTAGTCTAGCGCCATACGCCATCCCACCACGGCAACATGCAAGCCTGATCCAGACTAAGTCCTACCCGTCATGCTCAGGAAAACAAAGTGCATCTGCAAGCACGCCACACTCCCCCAATTGCTCATGCAGGCATATTTACGGTAAGTACTTGTACATCCTGTCCTCTTTCTACTGGCTTCCACTACTTCTGCAGAGGGAATTAAACCTGCATGGTAGCGAAGCTACTAACTGCTCGCTGCCTAGGTACGTAGCTCTTTTTGAAGGATACCCAAGGAATAGTTCAAATCCTTTCTCCTTGTTTCATTCTCCTGACTATTATTGCTCCGTTTATACTCCGTACAATACTGCCTGTGCTTCCCCTGGGCTCCAAAACGTCCAACTTAGACAAAATGCGAGCTGTTGCTGATCGATTAGTTGAAAATAATTTGCCTCTCTCCGTAGCATCCAGTGGTACGGTCACAAGTACAACGCCCCAAAAAACAAAAAAAAAACAAAAAAAGAACTTTGGACCTGACTTAGTAAAGTAATAGAGCCCTGGAGCCTTCCCCGCTGGTGCCCGCCACCACTCGGAAACCCAGCACAGTCTCTCGACGAAGTGACGCAAACAAGACATTGGTGACATAGGTCAACAAGGTACGGAGTATTCTGCCCATAATGCACACCATAGAATTCTATTACTACAGGCGCCTTTTGGTCGTGGCCTTCATGCGGCGGAACTCTGGCCTCTGGAACCGGGACACCACGCAATGCAATACAGCCTTGTCCAAAGCCCCCATCGGGCCTGCTCTAAACCCAGCACACGACCCCCGTGACCCCCTCAGTCCATCGTATGCTCTACCTGTAGAAATCAAACTTGTCCGCCTCTTGCGCTCCCTTGACTTGGCTCGAATATGCATCCTCCAAATCTGCTTGGATAATGTTATACCGATTCTTACGTACAGCCCGCAATCCCGCTTCTTGCATGATGGCCGCAATGATGGCGCCGGACAAGGGATCGTTCCTCACAATCAACGAATCCAAGTCCACTTCAGGCGATAATGACATCTTGCTGGCAATCGTGGTGAAAATCAACCGCCGCTCTCGCCGATCTCGAAGCGATGGAAACTCGATCTTCCGGTCCAGCCGGCCTGGTCGGAGCAGGGCAGGGTCTAGTGTGTCCGCTCGGTTCGTGGCCATAATGACTTTGACGTTGCTCGTCTGGTCAAAACCGTCCATCTGATTGAGGAGTTCGAGAAGGATACGCTGAACCTCTCGATCAGCTCCCGTCTGGGCGTCAAATCGCTTGGTTGCAATCGCGTCAATCTCGTCGATGAAGATGATAGCAGGTGAGTTCTCACGCGCCATTCGAAACACATCTCGGACCATGCGAGGTCCTTCACCCAGGTATTTCTGGACAAATTCGGAGCCGACCACCCTAATGAAGCTGGCAGTCGTGCTGTTGGCCACCGCCTTAACCAACATCGTCTTTCCGGTACCTGGGGGCCCGTAGAGTAGAACGCCTCGTGGTGGGTCAATGCCGATTTGTTTGTAGAGATCGAAATGTGTCAGAGGCAATTCGACGGCTTCCCGGATCTCCTGCTTTTGCATGTCAAGACCCCCAACATCCGCGTACGTCACATCTGGCTTCTCATCGGCTCCAAGCATGGCGATGGAAGAATCGGCTTCGGGAGGGAGGATGTCGACAAGAGAATTCGAATGGCGGTGAAGGGCGACCGAGGAAGACGGTTTGAGCTTTTCGCGGTCGAGAGTCGAGAGGATGCGGACGACGTAGTTAGAGCCCGTAGAAGATTGGACAATTCCGGTACTAAGTGCTATCAGCATTTTGAACAAAAATAAAAGGGATCTATCCCTACTTTTGATCGATAGCTTCCATGAACTGTCCAATGACCAAAGGGACACTCTGTATTCGCTTGATCTCTTCTTGCGCCCGCACGAGCTCACGCTTCAATGATCTAGAACGGGCATCAGTCCTTCTATCGACTAGGTCAGTTGCCCATTCTCACCCACCTCTGCTCATCCTTGATATATTCTTCTTGCAGCTTGATATACCTGTCCCGGTTAGCTGTGGCATTTGGACTAACAACCGCAAGGATCCGTACTCTAGATGTCTTTGCAACCTCTTCAATGTCGAGTACTCATCGCTACCGTCCGTGCCAGCTCCCTCTAAAGAGTCGATGTCTGGGATTGAATCTGAAATGGGTGGCTTCTTGTGAGGTGGAACGACGTTTGCAGGATTGTCGACGAGTACGTCGCCCATGGTGGTTCTCTGTCGGAGGGTCGGACTTCTGATAAATACGAGTGTGCGGAAGAAAGCTCGAGTGTCACCTAGATATGGCGAAAGTGTTGATAAAGTGGGAAACAAAAGGATGATGGAACGGTTGGTCGCAAGCACTGTGTTGGCGAACGGCTCCGAAGTTGAAGTTCCAACTCGAAGGCGTCCGCAAGACGCGCTGCTTGAAGGCCTGCACTAGCCCCAAATTGGACTAGAGCATCTCTGGCACTAGGGTGATCAGGAGAATCGGATAAATCGAATATCCGCGGCGAGACTTGCCTTGACTTGCCCCGACCTGCCCACCAAGCCACCCACCTTTTTGGACGTCTCGAATGGCTGCCGAGCATTGCACAAGCCGCCGTTCTCGATCAGCTGGCTTTTTCACGGGCCTCCCATCGAATGGCCAGGTGTTCCGGTAAGCAGTTGGGCTGTCCGGCGCTGATAACATGCTGGCAAGGCGTTTGCCAGGTTTCATGGCCCCTCTACAACTTGCAGTGGCGGGCTTCATTTCTCGTAGCTTTTTCCACGGCAGATCCAGCCTACATACATTACATAAAACAGATCAGCAAAAATTCAGACTTCCAATTCCAGTAAAACGATATGCGCTGTTCGACATCCTGGTGCTGGCTTTCTGTCTGAGCGCATGCGGACCCAGCTCTTTGGATCCGTTCGGTTTAGGAATAGTAGCGAAAAGGAAGATGCCGCGCCGTTTGATCTAATTCCTTTTCCCTCCCACCCCTGGATAACCCTGCCCAAGGATCTCCAGGGTTGAATTGGACATAGTACTCAAGGGGGTTGGGGGAGACTCGAGCTATGTCACTCTGCTAGATATTACAAGGTGTCTCTCCGCAATGTATCGGGTCTGGTGGCCAGTCGGAACTGTATTAATAGTGTATCATGCGGTGCTGGTTCTCGCAGACGTCGGTCCATAGCCGAAAAGAGGGAGCGGCCCATGCAGCTAAGAGATAGAGGGCCACGCAGCACGGGCATGCATGATACTATGTACCCTGGTATGTGCCTAACCATGCTAGACCGGGGGTGAAATGAACTGGATTGCATTGGTTCTGGCAATATGAAAGAACCCGCCAGGTTCGCTTGCGACTGTCTCTGGCGTGTGACACGATTCGAAGGTCTGTGTCGAAAAGGACTCAGCCTGCCCGCAATGAGGAACTAGAGATGCGGATCTGCCAATCAGACGATATCTGGCCGCTTGCGCATGAGCAATGAGCAATGAGCTGGTTGACCTGGTTGAGCAGAAGTGAGGCACTATCCGACTATGTAAGCCCTGGCATTCTGCTACTTTTGCACTGTTTCCTTTTTCTTTCCTCTCTTTCATGTCCTCCCCAACCTTGAATATGAAGATCCCTCCTTTTCGCTGTTCTACGTACCAACCCAAGTCCTCTGAGATGCTGTGTCTGTGATGCTCCAGGGACACCTCTCTCCTATCTACTTCAACTTATGGCTCGCCCAGACGACCCGAACGACAGAGACAAGTACCTCCAGGTCCATCTAGGGACATTTCTACGAAAAGGACTTTGTTGGCGTGAAGAGGGGATATGACTGACCGCCCTACTCAGTTCGGTATCCCGCCTCTTTCTTGTCGACGGCCATCTCCTTTTCCCAACGGCCATCAGCCCCAGATCTTTTTACGCAACACTCTGTACGTACTGACCAGCAGAGACGCACCGACGACTTGCGAGGAGGGCATCTGGGCATTTTTCTTGCTCCGACCGTCGCTGAGATGGGAAGCGGAGCCATGGATGCTCAGCGTGATGGGGGATCATTAGGTTCGTGATCGCACACTCGAGGCACTTGAGGATGGTCTAAGCCGAAAACGACCTTGGTGCGGCCCCAATCTGGGTTTGGCATTTTGAAACCCGTATTATTGTGCTGCAAAATCCGGGACGCCTAGGAGCGAGTGACGGGCGAGGAGACTCACCCAGCGCCGGCACAATCAGAGGCATCCAGCACAGCTTCACTGCAATTCTGCGAGAACTGGAACTCGTCCCACGCCTTTCGGGTTATTTGTTGTGTGGCGGCAGCCAAAGTGGACGGATGGCAGTGTGAGAGCAGATGACGGGAAGCGGGTAAGAAGAGAGAGCAAAACCGGGATCGCAGGCCACAAGCCAATGAAGAGCCGCAGATGGCTCGTTAGTGGGCAGGGCCCCTTCCTCCCCCCTTGCGCATTGCCCCCAGAAGAGCCGAGTGGCACCGGACGCCCACTTTTGGCCTCCCTCTCTGTTCTGTCGCCCTGCTGCTTACACTCTCACCCCCCTTCCAGGCTTCCAACTCCCAGGCACCTTTCTTTAGGCTCCCATTTTTTTTTCTCGACCGCCCTAATTCCCGATTCCAACCTTTACGGTGCCTGTCCTGTGCCTGCGCTGTTGACCACTTTCTCCCCCGGTTCGAGGCACTGCGCTTTTTGTGTTTCATCAATTCCAGTTCCCATTCCAGGTTCCCATCGCCCTCGCCCAGTTGTCAGCGTAGATGCTGGCTGTCGCTTGTCGCATCCATCCCTCTGACTGATCATTTTTCACCCCGCCCTGCCTGATTGTCTCTTTTCTGTTCCCTGCGTCTACGAACCACCACGTATCATCAACCTTGGGAAAGAATCCAAATCGTTCCCATCTAATCACCATCCAAGGTAAGCCTCTCCTACTTTCTTCTGATCCCCAGAAACCTTTTTTTTTGCCCCTCTGCCGATTCCCCCCTTGCACCTCGCAAAACATAGTGGGCTTGTCTTGTTCTTCCCTCTGCCGGCCGGTTCGCAGCAGCCGGAATTGAACACCAGCACATGGCTCGCCCACCACATCATCCATCCTCTCGCCTTCATTCCCTCCCCCAAAACCATCCGCCCACAAATCCATCACTAGCGCCTGTTATCTCCCATCAAACATGCGACTGAGATCGTGTCGCACGGCCCAATAGACCCGAGTGGGACCCTCTGGATGATGCTCGTTGCCCGTTCCTTTGGCCTGCCCCAAGCGTGGCTAACCTTCTTCTCTCAGCAGTTCCCAGTTCCCAGTCCTCAGTTGTCACACGCCCGCCGTGGCTAAACCCCTTTCAGCCATCCCCAGCCCTCAGGAAAATCGTCCCAATCTCGACTTTCCGATCGGTTCGCATACCTTTACGCCTGTGACGATTCCGCTCAAACATTGCCAGTCAGGTAAGTAGCCTTGTCCGATGTCCTCTGAACTTGTCATTGCCCCCTTCACTAGGCTCGTATCACTTCGCCCTTGACGCCCCGTTGTTGATCTTGACTTTCTCCTGTGACGCGTCTGGGCACCTCCTCTCTCCCACCAGACACCCGTCCTCCGTTCTTGCTTCAATGCGCAACCGTCGGCGCGCCTATCCATCATGAGATATCCGGTCCTGATGGGTGAGGTCGATGCCGAAGCGGATGTTTCCACCCTCGTGATGGCTGCGCGCATTTTGGGACCACTGCTGATGACTCTAGTTGCCATAGCCAATGGATGACCGAACCTCATTCGAGCCATGAACCCTTGGCTGACCGACGCCTCCTCGAATCCAAACAATCATGTTGGCTTTGGAGGCCCAATGGATGCTGGCATGTCTTTCCTGCAACCTCCTCAGACGATAAATCCTGCTCAGTTCCAGAATCCCGGCTTCCTAAATGGCGCCGCCCGAACCACCTCACCTGCCTTCCACAACCCTGTCTATCAGACGAACCCGGTGATACCTTCCAAGAGAGCAAGAGAAGATAGTCTAGTCACGTCGCCGCGGCAGGCACCTGGTGGCTTACCTGGCTCGCGATCACAGACACCTGGACAAGGTCCGTTCCCCGGATATAACCCCCAGGCCAACGGCGTCCCGGCGATATCAAACGCTCCCACACCATTTGGACATCTCCAGACGACATCTAACGCCTCTCCATCTCCAACCATACAACAGCTGAACCATTTCGCCTCAGCCCAAGCCAATCAACGCGTCGCGACAGCGTCACCTAGCCCGTTTTCGCCCCAACATGCTCCCCCACATGCTTCCCCAGCTCCTTCAGACCACGCGAGTCGCGTCGGCACACCCCATGATAACCCTCAAAACTTCTTGTCGAATGGTGTTTTTGCGCCGGGATTCAATCAACCTCAATTCGGTCAGAATATGAGCAATGGCATGCCACAAATGGGCATGAATCCCCAGATCAATATGGCGGCGCAACATCCAAACGCGGTTGCAACCCACCCGCGCAACTACCAGTTGCAGCTTCAGGCTCAAGCGCGTCAGATGCAGGCGCAAGCTCAGGCTCGTGGCATGAACGGGATGCCAACCAATCCTAGCCAACACGGTTCCAACCCGCCGATGCCGCAAGGAGCTCCGGCAGTGTTTCACCCTGCCAGACCTAATAATCCCGAGGATTTTATACGGGGCCTCCAGCAATTCATGGCCGCTCGTCATCGCCAAGTTGATCTAACACCGGTGATATGTGGCCGACAACTGCCGTTGTTACGGTTGTACGCCGCCGTGGTGAAAAGTGGGGGATCACAAAGGATATCCAAGCTGAATCAGTGGGCCTCGATTGCGCTCCAGTTTGGCTTTCCACCACCGCAACAGATGCAGGCAGCTCAAGAACTCCAGGCGTACTGGATGAACAATCTTGCCCCTTATGAGGCTGCTTGGCAGCTGTCGCAGCAGAAACAAAAGATGGCAGCACAGGCCGCAATACAGGGTCAATCCCAGATGTCACCCCCGCGCGATCAACCTCCAGACTCTACTCACCAGAGAAGTGCATCGGCCAATGGACCAGTTGCCCAACAACCACAACTCCCTACAGCAAATGGATATATGCAACCTCCCCATGCTCCTACACAACAAGATCTCTCGGCAACTCCCCAACACCGTTCTAGCGTATCGAGGCAGTTCGATCCTCAACAGATGGCTGCTATGCAGGGCCAGGTCCAGGGCCAAACCCCTCAAAAGCGGCCTCAAACCAGCGGGGGAAAGATGGCGGAACCTGAACCTGACTTGAACAAACCCTTGTCGAGACCGATCGAGGATCCTTTCAAGCCGGATGTCCTCCCTCCGAGCAGATTTCACGGACCGATCAACGTGGAGGAGATGTTCATTATCGGACAACACATCGCTGAATCCAAACCATTCGCACCCTCTATACGAGAGTTGGGAGTAATTGACATCCACGCTCTGACTATGGCAATCAAATCTGGAATGCACGCCGAGACACGGGTGGCATTGGACACACTTGTCACGCTTTCGATGGAGTCTTCGTTGCCATTGGCATTAAGTGAATGCGACGACCTTGTTGACACATTACTGGATTGTGCTCAGGATCAGGTCACCTTCCTCAGCGAACACGCAACTGAAGTCTCCGACGAAATGTTCCTCACCTCCTATGAAGATCTTGTCCGGGCCTGTCGCATCGAGAATGAGTCCTTACAAGATGTTCCCGAGTTTGGAACAGTTGCATACGATCTGGAAAGAGCCGCGGATCGCTTGATTTGTATCACCACCCTGTTGCGCAATTTCTCTTTTTACGAAGCCAACTTTGTCCCCCTGGGGCAGCCAGAGGTTGTCAAGCTGCTCAGCACTGTAATTCGATTTCTGGGCACCACGGAAATGTTTTTGCGACACAACAGAAACACCCTGGATTTCATGAAAGATGTGGTCATCTATTTTAGTAACTTGTCGACCTTACTTCAGCTCCCAGGGAAAGAAGAAGCACTCTGTGTCCTTCATTTCCTTCTCGCATTCGCACCCACTCCAGCGCCGACCTCAAGTTCCACGACCAAGGTCTCCTTCGTCCCGTACTCACCCGCTTTACACAAGTACATGCCTTCTGCTGTCGATAGTCTCGCTAAGCTCCTGGCGCGCGATGAACCCAACCGCACGTACTACAAAGCCATCTTCACAGCCGACAGTCACTCGAGTCCTCCGTACGAACTATTGACGAGAGCATTTGGGCTCGCCATTTCCTCAATCCCGGCAAACTCAAACCATACCAGGCCACTCATCGAGGCACGCAAACCTTTCCTCCTGCAAGGAATGTTGGCCGCAGAAATTTTGGCAGGTCTCGCACCAAGTTCAGACCACCCATTGGCGCGCTCATGGCTAGAATCGCATGATGGCTTTGCTGGCAATCTTCTCCGCTTAGTCAGTTTGTTGGGTGCGGATCGGACGACCCAGACTGCTCCTAGGCATCCCCAACCAAATAATCGAAATAACGCTTTTGAGCCAGATGCCAATGGCTACGGGGCGATCGCGAATCGTGCTATCTCTGTCTTGAAGACCCTGGTGCAAAAGGCCCGCAGGACCGATGAAAGTGGCTCGACGGTAGTACCGCTGGGCATTATGCCGAGCAAAGAAAGTCTTCTTGGAGCCATGATTCAAAAAGACATTGACCCGGGCATACTGCGACAGCTCTGTGTTTATGCCGGTCTAGAGGATTAGTACGACAAGCATTTGATTGCATGAGCGCGGTTGAGCCGACGTCCGCGGAATTGGGAGGATGGTCTGTTGCATTCATCCAGCTTGGTCGAATACGGATTGGCGGACAAGAGCAAAACTTGCTACGATAGGAACTTTCAATGGCTGGACTTGAGGCCCATATGTACCTCCACATTAAGCTTGAACGGTTGGGTACATAAGAGATGTCTTTTTCCGCTCCTAAAAGAGTGGGAAAAGCACAAAATGTGTTTACTTAGTCTTCAACTTGATCCAATAAAGAGATTGTTTGACTTGAATAGGTGTCTCAATGTGACGGAATGGATAAGCCCCCAGGGATGTGGGTTGTATTCACTTCGCAGTCCCGTCCGTTGCCCGCTCATCCATTCGTGGTGATGGCAAGGACAATGAGCCAGGAATCACACTGCTACATGTTTTACATAATCCGTATGGACGTGTCCAGCGAATTTCTCCCCTCCTGAAAGTTTCCGTGTCGTGATGAAGGAACGAAGGGAGTAGGTTAGGTAGGTAGGTATCTCTTTTCCTTTTTCCTTTTTCCGCATTGCACCCTTTTGCGGTGCGAATAAGAATACATAGGTAGCTCACACAGCAAGTAAGTACCATTTCCATCTTGTTTTTGTTCTTGTTCTTGTGACTCTTGGATACAGTCAAGCAGCTGAATCCCTGCCTGTGCCTGCGCCTGCACCTGTGTCTATGTGCGTGCCAGGGCGTGAAAGGGCTCTTCCGAAACATACGTAAATAGCTCGCCATTGCGAGAGACGCAGACGGAACTTGGGTAGCATGATGCTCGTATGTCATGTACAGCCCTCGGTCTTTCTCTCTTCGTTTTTCTTTCAACAACACTTCAAAACCCACTCATCTCCGCCCACCGCTTGATCTCTGGGCCCCTCCAGCCCCGAATAATCACATGCCGTGTCGTCCAATTGATCACAACATTGGCTTTCTTCCGTCCTCGCGCGTCGGTCATGTATTCTTCCAACCCCAAGGCCGTGCGTACGGCGTTCGCTAGTTCCTGCAGGTCACCCTTGATCTTGCGGATCGTCGTGATGTGCTTGGAGCCGCCGGCTTTGGCGCTTTGGTAGATCGGGAGGTTTTTCGACGGGGTGCGCGTGATCATGTATGGAAGCGGGGAGAGCGTGGGCGTCAGGCTATGATCCTCGATCTGGCTCATGAGAAAGGAAGGTCGCTGAGCAGGCGACTCCGGCTGCCGCTGTTGTTGCTCTATCGGGGAGGGTGTTGCTGAAGGAGTTGATACGGGGTACATGTTCGCAGCACGATCTTTGCTGTCCTGTTCTGTTGGTTGAGATTCATGTCAGCGACTGTGCACGTAGGCCCAGGAACAGTCCCCGCTGCAGGGACGAACTTACTTTCTTTTCGAATGGCCGCTTTTTGTCTTCTGTGTAGCTTGTCTAGAGTTGTGATTTTCGCGTACTTTTCCCTGGGCATCCAGTCTGACTTCCATCTGACCTGGCATAGAGGCTGTTGTGGGCGCAGCATAGCCCGTAGAAGTAGAGTTGAAGGGGCTTTCATTGTCATTATTGAGCGCGCAAGTTAGATGGCCGATGTGCACCTTGGGAGCATCGACATTGACCGAAGGACATTGGGTGTGATGCGCACGTGAAGTACAAGGCTGAAGATTTACTCGACACCGGCGCCCGGCTTGGCATCACCTGGTGTCGCCGCTTTCTGCTATTCTGTGCCTAACGCTTTTTGGTATAGCGCCGCGCAACCCGATTCGTTTTCTCCGGCGCACGACCGATATTCAAAATGTGGTCGAAGATTGAAGACCTCCCAAGCGGCCATCCAGAGCACGAAGACAACCAGGACCTGCCTGGATATATCTTCCCTCTCGAGCTCCCTCCCACCCCATCGCCGCCGCCGTCCCCGTCCAAATACCCCCTCACAAAGGAGAATTTAAGAATTCTTCAAGAACAATTTGGTGTAGTTGTGAACGAATTCGAATTCAGCGACGACATGGCTTCCGACAAGGCTACCAACGGTAGCGACCCTGTCGACGATCCTACCGGCGAGTATGCCTTTCTGAATAAGCTCATTCTGCGGATGGATCGGCACCTCGTCTTTCCTCTACTTGAACACAAGCTCGGGTCCGAAGACATCTCACAAGAACGTTACGATGACCTCAAAAAGGCCATCTACCAGCTTCTCAAAAACACCAACATGATTGACTACGTGGGCAATCTCTACAAGGAAATCTACAAAACGGATACCATTCCTCCAGACTACGTGAAGAAGAGAGAGGAAGTGTTGAGTCAGCTGGCAAAATTCGAAGAGGAATCCGCGCACCTGACAAACCTGTTGAACGATGAATCAGTCACCTCGCAACTGCGCAGTGACAAGGTCGCCAATCTGAAGTTCCTCGAAGAGCAACACGGCGTCACACAGCAGATGGTCGACAACCTCTATGATTTCGGCAGATTCCGATACCAGTGCGGCCTCTACCCCGAAGCCGCCGACTTGCTTTACCGTTTCCGTGTCCTTTCCACTGACAACGACAAAGTCGTCAAGGCCACCTGGGGCAAGTTGGTCTGCGAAATTCTGGGTGAGGAATGGGAGAACGCGCTTGAAGAGGTTGAAAAGGTCAAGGAACATATCGAGACGCGCCTGTTCAACAATCCCCGTGCACAACTCACAGCACGCGAAGCCCTGGTTCATTACGCCCTCTTCCCCTTCTTCAACTACGAGCCTGCTCGTGAAAAGCTGACGGAGATGTACTTCTCCCCGCCATACATCTCTTCTATTCAAACTGTTTGTCCCTGGATTCTCCGTTACCTCGCAGCAGCAGTCATCACCAATCGCGCCCGCATGAACAACTCACACAACTACCAGAAACAAGTCAAGGATCTTGTCCGAGTCGTGAAACAGGAGGTCTACGAATACCAAGACCCAGTGACCGAGTTTGTCAAGGCTCTCTACGTCGACTTTGACTTTGAGGGTGCACAGAAGAAGTTGTCTGAAGCTGAGGCCATCCTAAGAGGGGATTTCTTCTTGGGAAGCTCGACTGATGCGTTCATGGAGAGCGCGAGACATCACATTTCAGAAAGCTACTGCAAAATCCACCAGAGAATTGATATCAAGTAAGTCTGAGGGCATCTCCTACGCACCGCACTCTTTCATGCCCCAAAATACTAACTTCTGCAACCCAGGGACCTCTCCACCCGCCTAGGTCTCTCTCCTAGCGAAGGTGAGAAATGGATTGTCAACCTCATCCGTGACACAAAAGTGGACGCCAAGATCGACTACCAGGCAGGAACCGTGGTCATGAACCACCCCCCTCAGAGTGTGTACCAGCAGGTCATTGAGAAGACAAAGGGCGCATTCTTCCGCACGCAGGTGTTGAGTGCCGCGGTGGCGAAATGAACGGACAGTGACTGAAAGAAACCATGCATGCGAAAGTGTCGACGTGAATGGTGGAACCAAATCAAACGACAACAAATTCAAGACCAACCAACGAACAACAATGCCTACGGAGTAGTCTATTCGATATCCGCAGTTGACAGCCCACCAGGCGCGAATAGATCGAATGGTGCAACACCAAACGATCTTGAGGATCTCAAACCGAGAGACAGCAAAGAACATCGAAGAGAGCATTGAGAACGGAGAACATGTTGGCCGAGAACATCGAGTCTAATGCAGAGGTCCAGAAAAATGACGGGCTTCGGTGCATAGGTCATGATACCCATGAGCATGGTACTGAATGATGGCAGACAGAACTGAAGGACTGAAACGAGCTTTTTTGAGTGGAGAATCAAGCACGGCCAGTGAGAAGACCAGGACTGGAGAGGTCACTTCTACTTCCACGGTCTCGCTAGCTCTTCTGCTGGATGTAGCATGGCATCGTGCAATGCTGTTGCAAAAATCAAAAAGAAATCCGTCACCGAGCTGCCGTGATCCGACTCAGACATGTCTCATTTCTTCCCGTTCCCGTTGCCAATCCCATTGCCGTTGCGGTCCTTGCTCTTCATCTTCATCTCTTCCTCGACCACTAAGCCCTTGACTTCTTCCTCGTTCATCCACTCCCTGACACTGCCCATGACCATCTCCAAGCTCTGTCCCCCGCCGAGGACGCCGTCCAGATCGCTACTCTCGACGCCACAGCGGTGGTCTGTGACCCTGTTTTGGGAGAAGTTGTACGTGCGGATCTTGTCCTCTCTTCCGGTCCTGGCGACGCCGCCCATGGCCGCGCGGCGCATGCTGATGACCTCGGCCTCGCGCTGCTCGCGGCGCATCTGGGCCAGCTTGGCGCGAAGCAACGTCCACGCCTTTTCGCGGTTCTTGTGCTGCGAGCGCGAGTCTTGCATCGCCACGACGGTGCCCGTGGGCAGGTGAGTCAGCCGCACCGCCGAGTCGGTCTTGTTGACGTGTTGGCCTCCGGCCCCGCGCGCACGCATCGTCTCGGACTTCACCTCTGTCGGCGAGACGTAGTAATCCGAGTTCGGGTCGTCGTAGTCCAAGCCGTCACCGTTTGCGGACGAGTCGGGCAGGTTGGGCAGGACGAGTATCGAGACCGCGCTGGTGTGTGTTCGGCCTTTCTTCTCCGTCGCGGGGACGCGTTGCACGCGATGGACCCCAGCCTCTGTTCTTAGCACATCATATGAGCCCGGATGGTTGACTTCCAACAGCGCATCGGTTAGGCCCGCTTCGTGGGTCGAGTCGTCCGGCGTGTAACTCGCCAGCGTGGTGGGCCATCTCTTCCGCGCGCAGAAGTCGGTGTACATGTTCAACAGGCTCTGGGCGAACAGGGAAGCCTCAGAGCCGCCGGCGCCAGGGTGGATTTCGATAAGACATGGCATGTGAGCGAAAGGGTGGGGCGGGATGAGCGACCGCTTGAGCTTCGAAGCAAGGGAGCGCAAAGACGCAGTGGTAGCTTGGATGTCAGTTTCTGCGAGGGAGCGAAGCTCAGCGTCGGACGACGGGTCGTGAAGGAGAGCGTTGAGTTCTTCGAGAGACTGTCCGCGTACACATTCATGTCAACATGTAGATCGTGCGTTATCCATCTTTGACGAGGATATTTACATTCTGCGCATTGTCCCACTCCTTCAGCGCCGCAGACACGGGACCCAGCTCCCCAATCCTCTTCGCGACGGCGACGTCGTAGTTCTCTGCGTTCGCAGCCGCCAGCTGCTGGTGCTCGGCGGCAACTGCACGCGCCCGCTGCAGAAGAATAGGCGATATTTCTGGCCCATTTCCAGAGGGTGTCGTTGCTAGAGAGGAGTCAATTCACTGTGGCCTTCAGAGGACTTGCGGCATCGAAATATGGAATGTCACGTACCTGAACTCTGGAAGCGAGCTCGATGATGACGACTTCTAGCTACCGTGTGCAGCAAAGGTCCAATGCATGTTGAGCATAGCCGCCACCGCGAGCTATTACTTAACATGCCTCGGATGGACGAAGAACAATAGAGTCTTCAGTTAGAACAATCAACGGATGTCGAGAGCATGGTTCTGCAGGTTAAAACGGTTCAATGCAGGGCTGCGGAGACTCCGAATAGTATATCGGAGGAAGGTCTATCGGCCCAATCAGGCACATTCCAGCCTCAGCCGTGCAAGGCGCCTCAGCCTGCCGAAGCCTTACCTACACTGTATACACGGGACCTACGCTATCATAATTCCCACCAGGAAAATTTGGTGGAAATGAGTCTCATTTTCAACTCTGGCAACATTGCATCTATGGCGCTCCATATACGCAATACCGGAAAACAAGTAGAGGTATCTGTATCTCTGGCGCCCTGGTTTCTCCCCTTCCTCAATCAAAACCCTGGATCTCGTTTCATCTTTCATCGGTTGTAAACGCCTTGCGATGTGTATGCGAATTTTTTTGGTTTCATGCCTTCGTCACGTGAATGAGGAGCCAGAGTGGTATCGAACATTCTGTACATTTTGGACGCCGGTCGTGCTTCGTTATTATTTGTGACAACGTGTATTGGTATGCGTCGCATTCGTTGGAAACCATTCATGAACGAAAAGCCCATATTGACTTCAACCCATTCTCATCGAAACCGGCGATGTCCTTTTTGCTTCCCGTCAAGTCGGCATTGCTTCTGTCACGCAGCGGTACAAGTCGAGGTGACTGGCCTGACCAGGTCGGTGTCTTGTCGTCGCCGTCCATGGGGAAGAAGACTCCTTCGACCTCTTCATCGATCTTTTTAGAACTCAGACCTGGACTGGAGATCCCACGGTCAAATCGTCCAATTGGCGCCGACGAATGTCTCAGACCACTCGACTGAACCCTCAATCCATTCGACTCGCCAGAATCAACTCGATTGAGCTGCATCCGAGCCATCGCTTGAGATATACCAGATATCTGGACGCTTGGTGTTGACGATTCGTTCGGCATCCAGGACCCGCGAAGAGGTGAACCAACGTGGCCAAAGCTGGACGGTCCGTTGCTTTCAGCGGCTTTTTTCTCTCGCTGTTCGGCCCACAAGGCACTGAATCTGGAAGGGCTCCCTGTCGGTGGGGATCCGACTTTGCTAGAGGTTCCACTTGGAATCGCCAGGGCGTGGACATGATCCTTGGAGCTGTGCTCTTGGTCTGCCCTCGACGTGCGGCGCATCTTTTCCTGTGGAGTAAGTACTTCGTCGTGCAAGCTATTAGGAAGTAGATCTGTCTCCAACCCCATCCCTCCCTCCCATTCATAAGGCAGATGTGAACGTGGAACGCTTGCCGACAATCCCCTCGTCTTGACAGCTCTCTGAGAATGCATAATCCGCTGGCCAATGGACTCTTCGGCATTTTGCGGCGAAAGACCCAAAGGCGAGACGTTTCTCAAATTAGACCCGAGATTGGCATTTCGAACATTGACAATTGACTCTGGAGGGCTTCCAAGCTGTCTAGATAGCGAAGAAGAGGCTGGAGATCGCATGCCAAACTTATCTGGGACAGATTGACCGAGAGGTCCATATTTCGCTATGTGGGAAACACCGTTCGAATCGAAGGACTGTGGTAGAGGCGCATTGAGGGCGGTTCGGAGATTTTCGACCGGCGACTTGGGGAACTGGTAATCATTTGGAGGAGAGCCAAATTGAGAGGTCGGGGGGGAGTTGAGGCCTGAATCGAGGGCCGAAGGCGGTTGATATTGGACGTACCGATCTTGAAACGCGTCCGCTTCGTCGCCGTCCATTAATGGGAACGTCTGACCTTGGAAGTAGTCTGGGCCGTAAGGAGGCTGATTGGGAATGGGATCTCCCAAACTTGGATCTTGGCTGGGGAAAGGTGCTTGCTCCGAACGATTCGCATAATTGAAATTTCGACTTGCCATGGCGAATCCAGCATCGAGGTCTGCTCGGTTGACTCGTCGCCCATCAGGAAGATAGTGGGCAAGAGCGCATTTGGCGCCAAACTTGCAGTTCCCCTGTACATGTCAATCTCGACTCAGTCGCAACTCAAGACAATCCTACCTTCATGAAATATTTGCAGGGCGCTTGCTGGGTCATTGGATCGAGAGAGTGCATGAAAGGACAGGCGTTTCCTGCCTGGCAGGCCCCTTGACGGAAGAATTTACATGGGACGTGTTTGGTATCTTGCCACATGTCAGCATATGTGCATTCTTTCGGACACGATCAAATTCACTTTTGCCTGAAGCAGTGGGAGGGCTCCTCGCCATATCAAATAACGGCTGACTCTGTGAGATGCTGCTCTTTCTGTCTGCGCCATTCCCAAACACCGTCGACCCAGGTACCGGCACAGCCTTTTCACCATTGGCGCCGAAGCCATTCCGCTGTCTGCTCGGTCCATGCGTCACAGACGCAGGCTGTTGAGAGGTGCTCTTTGAGTGCCCTCGATTCATGGTTCCGTATTGATCATGATCGTTCCAGGTTGCCGAGGGGTCTGAAGTCAATCGAGGAAGGGCGGTACTCATGATGTGGTAGGCCGCAAAGAGGAGGGAGCGTGGACAGCGCAGGCAGGAGGATGGAAGGATCCCCGTTTACTGCAGAGGTGGTCAGGCTACCCCAGAGCAATTGGTATGCAGTGTGATCGCGAGTTGTGCCACAAGTCATGCGGCACCTGGACCGCGTAGACTCGGGGACGAAAGCACTCTCTCCACGTGTTCGGCCGACGGGCGTGGGGGTGAGGGAAGACGATAACGTGTTGCGTCAGGGCGGAATGTGAGGTGGGGTGGAGGTCGAAGTCTGGCGGCGAGATCGTAATAACGAGGTAAGAATTTGTAATCGTGGTAGGAGAAGGTAGAGGAGCGGCGTGAAGGTGAGGCGTAGATATGGTCTTTATCATTGAGGGATCATGGACGTGGGCAGCAGTCCAAGCAGTCCAAGCAGTCCAAGCAGTCCAAGCAGTCCTAGTGACCAGGTTGCGTGGTGGGGCGCGGCGCGCAGATGCGGTTAAGAAAGGGTGGAGAGAGAGGTTTCAGCCTGGCTGCTTGTCGCTGTGTTTGCCACTTGTCAGGCTCCGGGCAGACAAACTTGCCAAGCACGCATAATCCTCAACAAGCTAGTAGAGTGGGTCCTGCCGTGCCTATTTGCCTATGCCCACGTGATATGGCCTTCCACCCTCTTTCGCGCTGTTCTTAGCGATCTGTCTCTCTCTCTCTGTTTCTGCCGCCAGAAATGGCAGCCCGCATTGAATTGCCATTCCTCTACCACACCCGCACTATCCTGCGCTTGCCAAAGAGAGCTCGTCTCTCGTGTCCACGATTTGTGTCAACTCAAGGGGATTCAGACGCGCCCATCGAAGATGGCAAACCTCCCCTTTCCTCAGAGGAGGAGTCGTTTCTCAAAGCAAAAGCCCGAAGTGTCTCTCGGTCTCCAATAGCGCCTAGATCCGCCTCTAAGAACGCCGAGACAACCATCAGCTCTACCATAACCGCAAGCGAGCGTAGAGCCTTTGAGACAATCTTGCGCTTTGCCCCCAAGCAGACCGAGCCAGCTAGTTCAAAGCGCCGGTCACCTTATGCCGATGCTGCCGATACCGACATTGAGAATATCCTCGAGATATTCACTTCTTCTATACGGAGCCATCAGTCAGCACGTGATAACGCTCAGCTTGCCCAAAAACTTGATAGCGATGTCGCAGATCAGGAAGCCGGGATAGAGCCGCCAGATGTTCAAACATCGACAGAACGAGCTCAAACGACACGGCCTGTACTTCGTCCAACGGAGCAGTCTATCCTCCAACCCACCCAGCACCACGAACCTGAGTCAATAGCTCAGCCGGGTTTCAACGCCGCGCAGGAACGCGGTGGAAGCTCCGGCGCGCCAGTTCAGGCAAAGGCACCAAGCACTGTTGAACGTATAGGAACGGAAGCAACGGAAGTCAAGGATCTTTCAGGCCCTCTGATCCGGAGGCAACACTTGATTTCAGCAATACAAGAACAACGTGATATCCTCGAGCAGTCACTCGCCGAAACTGCCATTCCGTCTCGTCCCTTTGGCCAACTCGAGGAATCCATCCAGCATGCCGTTCGTGAACGCATGCACTCCATTTCCCAAGCCCTCCAAGAAGCAGCGCACTCGAAGGATGAGAGGGGTGATATCGCGATGTGGGAGGTCTGTGAGTCTCAAATCTTCTCGATGGCAAGGGACCTACAGCCCCAATCCAGCCAGCAGTCCCGGCATAGGGAGCAGCGGCCGATATATGGTGGGATACGAAAATTCACATTCACGCGAGAAAAGTCGGACGATCCTCGCCAGCTGATCGAAGCAGCGGAAAGACTGCTACGAGTTTCTTCTCCCACCCCCAGCACCAATCACGCCGACGACACCTCAATAGAGCCCAAGCCTTCGATAACTCAACACACAACAACCCCTTCGACTCTTTCCACAACCCAACTCGCCATCCTCCAGCACACCTACCCGGCATCACTCCTCCTCGCCCTCAGGCTGTACATAAGCCTCTACCCTTCCTCACCCCACCCGCTGCTGCTCCTGCCGCGGATCCGCTCTCTGGGCACGACGTCTTACGTGCTCGGCGCCAGTCCACAGTTCTACAACTCGTTGATGTCACTGGTCTGGCTGACGCGGAGCTCTTTGAGGGAAGTGGACGGATTGCTAGCGGAAATGGAGCGGGGCGGAGTAGAAATGGACGAAGGGACATATGCAGTGCTGGGACGCATTGAAGAGGAGAGAGCCGTGGATTTGGCGGCTGAAAGGGGGAGGGAAAGGCAAAGGCAAAGGGACAAGGCACAGGAATCACTGGGTAGTCGTGGTGCGGCGTGGTGGAGGAGACAGGAACAGATGCTCTGGTTTCCCAGGATATTGGATTGGTTGGACGTCGTGGCCGGAAGGCTCGCCGCCAGGGAGAGGACGCTGTAATGTACAAGTGTTCCCGGGCTTGGCATCGCTGGGTGCCTCTCATCGAATCATTCATTCCATTGTTCATTCACCCGTCTCGACGTCGAAATAGCTTCTCTTGGTCCGGTACCAGCTTCACATACTCGTCATCCAATTCCTCCTTCTCTCCATCCGAGGAAAAAACTTCCGCCAGACTAGGTCAGTCCACCTAGCCACGCGCCACAACATTCACTTGCTCGGAATTGAGTCATAGGGTATTCAACGATGTGGAGGGGAGATTTCCAGTTACCATCTTTTCTCATTTCGAAATGCCTTGTGCCTGCTCCTTCTCCGGGCTCCCGCTCTGCTCCCGTTAAACAGTTCCATCACCAAGTTCAGGAACCGCTCTCAAAGCTTAGCTTTCTTGATCGGTTCGCTCGCAACGGCGTTGTCGCTGTCGTCGGAGCACCACACAACAGGAGCTCTTCGTTTTAGATATGTCGCTCCCGCGCGGTGGCTAGCCGCTGACTGCATTTTAACTCCTGATCCCTGTTGGGTTCCCTTCTTGACGATTTCTTGAGACGCAGAGCCGTCCTCCTCGTCATCACTCGATATCTCGATAATCTCCCGCGACATGTTCGCTCTCACCCCCGCTTCCAACGCTGGGTTGGATGGTACAGGCGCGTTCGACTGCCCTGACGCGGTCGTGGAATGCGATGAGCCTTGCGCGTGATAGCGACTGGAGTCCGTCGTTGCCCTCCGTTTCGCCATGGTCGCCAGCCAGGCTTCCTTAAACGAGCGGCCTAGTGCGGTGCCCAATGCCCATGGCACGAGATTTCCCAATTGTTTGTATTGATCCTTTACGTCTCCAATGAGAACAAACCAAGAAGGCATGCCCTGAAATCTGCGAGTTTCTTCCAGCGTCACACAACGATTCTGGAATGGGTGAATGATCTCTCCCCCAAATTTGGCGTCCATTGGTGTTATTAGAGTGGCGATAGTCCGTGATGGGCGATCCGCGTTGATTCGTTTCAAGCACTTAGACTGGGGACTTCGCTGATAGGGTTGTAGAGTTTTGAAGAACTGACGCTCGTGCCGAAGTAGGAGACCTGCGTGATATGCATTGCTAAGCGACATGCCCTCTGGGATCCTCTGAAGGATTGCGTGATAATTCACGCCTACTCTCCAATCTATTGTAAGTCGCTGGAGAGGGACGTGCGCTGGATTGGCGACATTGATCACAGTATCGTTGTGAACTGGTTCTAGATCGCCAATGGTACGACGAACACATTGGCTTTCTTTAAGTCCCGGCCCATGTGTTGGGACTAACTCTCTAGGTAACTGAACTCCAGGCGCCGCAGCCACAATGAAAAGTCGTTTTCGATTCGAAGCTCCGCCGAAGTTCGAGTCAATATGCACTGATCTCCGTGTCTGGTAACCAAGTGACACAAGAAAGCTGATTGCCTGGGCACAGGCGTTCTGCTGAGTCGGATCGCTTGGATCCATTGTTGGCACATTTTCTATTAGAACAAATGCTGGTAAGAAGATATCCACGAATGATAGAAAGTTCGCAAGGTATGAACAATTCTTTTCAGCGTTCTTTGTTCCTCTATGGCCGTTTAAGAGGCTGTATCCGCGACAAGGGAACCCGCCCATAATAGCATCGGTTGGAATCATTGATTTTTGTCCCGACGTAAATGCTTTCAGCAAGTGCTCTACCGAGCAGACTTCACATATCGAACCAGGGTGGTTTGCTTTATGGCTTTGCGCTGCTGTCTCCCAGATCTCCACTGCGAGGACCAGTTCAACGAAATCAAGACTCGTAAATGCCGCCTCAAATAGGCCACATCCGCTGAAGAGGCCTGCAAGTCTCATTTTTGGCCAACTCTGTCGTGGGGCCGGAGTTGAAGCTTTCATTTTCGGGGCTGAAGGGTGGGAGGGTTTCAAGTGTGTACATCGACAAGCGAGATTCGATAAAGGTTCGTTGGCAAATTCTTCGTCATGCTCTCTATAGAGGAGATGCACAAATAGCTGTGAGCTATTGATTGGCGTATCCTGAACGCACGCCTCAACTATCTCCACAACATCTCGATAGGGGATTGGGTCACAGTTGCAACTGTCAGTAAAGAACAACTCATTGCCGATTTTGTAGGCTGCGTTTCGTCCACAAAGAGTCTCTGCTGGTAGCACTAGCCAGACAACGCGAAAGTTGCATTTCTGCGTACCTCTGACCCAGGCGTAGCGAAATGTATCATTCCACCGCACAATAACCACTCTGTGAAGAATGGTGTCGTGACGATCAATGCCCACAGTTTGGTTTCTTATGGCTGCCTGCTCCAAGATCCAGGCCACTCTAGATATTCGCTGTGTCCCTTTCGTGACGAATGCCGCCAAAGGATTGACAATAAACTTGTCCAGGAACTTCCATTCCATGACTCTCTTCCGGCGATATTCTTTAACTTCAGGAGATAGATGTACCACTTCCAGAAGCTCGAATTTCTCCCACGCCCCGAATTCTGAGAACGATGCCGCGACATTGGGCGTCACTGTAGTCTTCTCCACGGGAAGTGAATATTGACGCGTTTTAGGGTCGCCAATTTCTGCCCAGATTGGGTGTTGAAGCACAGAAGGTCCGTCGTCCTTATCGTAGATGTCGTTAGCCTGGTCGTATAAGAATCGGCGGTAGGCGGACACATGATGACGAAAATCGCTTCGCTGATGACACTGCTTGTGCCAGTCCCGAATACTCTCGCCGTGTAAATCATCCAGCCACTCCCAGAAGTTGGCTCTGAAGTCTGCCAGATGTACAGGAACACCGGACTTAGAGCGAGTGTAGAGGTAGTCGACGAAATATTTTGTGAAGTTTGCGAGCCAGACAAAGGGATTCCAAACGGTTGAGTATTCTTCCGACGCGGATTTTAAACGGTACCAGTAGTTTTTGGCTCGGCTTTCTTTTGTCTTAACCCATATGAAATCGTTGACCGAATAGTGTCCTATGTCCTCGAAGCCTTCGATGCTAACCTGGACAATTGCGGCTCCAACAACTTGTTTTCGAACGGCATTATGCTCTAAAAAACCATCGATCAACCAATGACCCTCGTCATGGCCATCGGCGAGTTCAGAATATACGATATGAAGGCTTTCGTATTTTCCTCGCGACTTCTGAGGGTGTGTAGGCGACCGATATACGTAAAAGTTGTGTAAATTGAATTCCCAAAATTCTGACGGTTCCTTCGAGACGGCTGTTAAGGTGTCTGGATCAATCCAGTGATCATCCATCGATATAAATTCGTTAAGGATCTGAGCCTCGGTCGACTTGACAGTGTGAGAATATTGGTTTGAACACTGTGGCGCATACGAGCGCCTCAACTCTTGTGGGCACTCCAAGTGCTCGAGAGCGGACGCTAGGTCGCGAAATTGTCGTTCTAGGGCCATATCTGTTTCTGTCCGTTGACGGCCCGATTCAGCACGGGGAGTGGGTGTGGAACTCGTATCATCTCCATCTGATGAGATTTCTCCCACCAGCATATCATCTTCGTCAGTGGTACCGTCATCAGTGACTGCCTCGGTCTCGGATTCAGACGACAAAGGTCTTGATTGTTTCGGTGTGGGTGTATCGCTTTGACTAAATCGCTTGACCCTGGTGCGGGAAAGTGATGCCGACGATGTGTATTTTTTTGCCATCATAACCCAAGCACAGCCAACCCGGTGTGGTGCAATTCCTGCCTTGTCGAGTGGTGGCATATACCATTCAGTGACCAGTGGATGGAGTAAGAAAGGTAATTCAAGGAAGAAATGGTGAGCGGAGGATAGAGGGTGATTAGGGAGAGGTTGAAATCTGAGAAGAAGGAGATGTTAAGTACTGGGGAGAGAGAGGAGAGGGAGAGAGAGATGTTGAATACTAAGATGAGACTTGAGTGACAGGTGACGACGGGTTCGACATTGCTATCAAGGTCTTTGAGCCCAATGGCACAAGAAGATGAAAAGCAACATACATAGATGTGTGAGGTGGAAGTGAGAGAAGGCTCATGAGACCAAACTGTGTGTTGGGATGCCGTGATTCTAATCTGGACGCACTATTGTAGGATGCTAGTTGGCTTCATATTTAGCTGATGGTGCCAAAGGAATGTCAAAAGCCAGACAGTTCGTAGCCAGCGTCTGGAACATGGGCCGCTGCTCTTTTCTAGTATCTCCCGACCACCTTCGGCTTGCAAGGTAGTGACCGTTGACATTCATCAATAACCGGCGAAATGGTAGAATCAGTGCCGGAGTTACCGAAAGATCATTGTTTCTCGTACATGGTTTGGTATCTAACGACATCAAAAAGTCATAAAATCTGCTGCTTCTATCGTCAAACTTCATGGCCGTCGTCGTCGTCCACATAGCTGCGATCTCCAGCTTTTCCTCTTCGACGCGACGAAGAACTCATCAATTCAAACAGCCGGTTTTTTGCCGGACCATCCCGGCTGCTTGACAGCGGCCTCCGAGCATCTTCAACCATGTCAACCGCGTCGGTCGATGAATTTGTCGAGTCTGTCGTAGTCCGGGTCTCTCCAGCCCGGTGAGGGTAGGGTATACGTTTTTCCCACGCGGAAGCCGAGCTTGACGGCGTAGTGTCTCCTTCTCCAACAATCGGAGAGAGCTCGACGTTCTTATAGTCCACATCTGTCACCATGTCTGTCGTTTGCGGAAGAGCCGTGATGTCAGTGTCTCGGTGTGACCTGACCAAGGACTCTTCGAAGGCGCTGCTGGGTGACATAGCCTTTTGCTGGTCGGTGACGAGCCGTTGCCAGGTATGCTCCGACCTTTCGTCAGGCCGTTCAGCTTGTTCTGCAGCCTTCAGGCATTCCTTGCTCTTCCGCGAGAGCCTCACGCAAACCGCATGAAACGCTTGAACAGCCTCATCCTCGGTTGCATCGCTGATGTTTTCCGGAGCATGTGTAACCCATAGGTCAATAAGCTGTGCCATCAGCTTGGCGTGATCCAGAAGGAATGGAAGGCTTGGCAGGCCCTCCCGGGATAGAGCTGGAAGTCGACCTCGT